TGAGAGCACGCAATAAGCTAATAATGCCATACGCAATACGCTTGAAATGCGAAGAAGAAGAAGAAGAAGGAACTGCTCAATTGTCCATCTTGGGGGTGCGTAGCAACTACATACATAGATTTCATTGATTTTGGCGATCACGAAACCTTCGTATGAGCTTGCCACCACTTGTTGAATGGGATACCTGCCCATGACTTGTATGACCGCCATTCTTGCTCTATCCACCACCCAGTTACCATTATCGAGAGGGATTCGATATGGCTCTGCAATGATTGCAACGTCGCACTTTGTTTCCGTTGTTGACTGCCACAACAGTTGCTGTGCTGTGTTGCAATGATTGAGATTTATTTGGGTTACCTTCATTATTGCTGGCCCACCATCGCCTTCTTGAACTCTGGGTACCTGAAACTTCCCGTCACATGGCCGTTTCCGTCCTCCTTTTCGCAGAGCATGCACCTCGGTTGCTTTGTACAGTCTTTTGCAACGGAGAAGGGGCCCTCCGCATTTCCTGCACAGATCAGATCTATCTGGGCCTTTGCAATTTCTCGCCTGGTGACCGAAGCCCATGCATTTGTAGCATCTCTCCATTTTCTTAGATACCTGAGGAATAGCTTTCAACGGGCACACTGACCACCCAACCTTAATTCGGCCTGTCTTCAGCAGCTCGTTAGCTGCGTCCGAAGGAAGTCGTATCGATGCCATCTGCGTGCCACCAGACGCCTTCCTCAACCGAATTGCCATCGGTACGTCTCCCAGGTTGCATAGCACCTTCAGCGCACTCTTCTACTCGTCTTCTGTTGTGATCTCGTCCAGATCCCTGCACTCGACCACTGACTCCTGGGATAAAGCTCTTACGTTCGCCGTCTCGCTAAGAGATTTTTCGACGAGCTCCTTAAAAGCTGCGCTCTTAACCGTAGGATCCCTTTTCAGCTCAAATAGCATCTCGCCTTTCTGGGTTCACCTGGTTTTCACCACGTTCTCGCCTAATTGTTTCAAGTCCGGATCCTCTCTCACTTTCCGGAGGAGTGTTGCGTAGGACGTTTTGTCCTTCACCTCAACAACCGGAGCGTCACCCTTGCTTCTCTCCCTATGAGGCCTAGACTTCTCCTTATTCTTCCTGTCTTCCTTCTTCTTCTCTTCCTTCTTCCTCGCTTCCTCTTCCTTCTTCCTCACTTCATCTTCTTTCTGTTTTTTCTTCCTCTCCTTCTGGTTCTCGACTTTACGCCACCCACCATTTTTCCCCATCTCCTTGATGCCTTCCTCGTCCTTGCGTTTTTTGGGCTCCTCCTCATCTCCTGACGTGTCCCTATATCTCTTTTCAGGACATGGATTTGTGGGTCCCTTCGGCGTCTCATGTGCTTCAGCCAGTCTTATGCTCTCCTTGGCCTCCCGGAGAGCCTTTTCGGCATTTTTGGCTCTTTTTCTCCACTCTTGGAATTCCCGATCTGCCACTTTTATGCCGGATTTGATTCCAGTTACAAGTTGCTTGATCTCTTTGTGTACGTTGTTTTTATCCTTTACGAACACATAGAGATCATCGATCTTCCTCCTGACCTCCGTCATTTTGGTTCTCCCAAGCTGCAATTCTTGCTGTTTGCCACCGCTGGATTTCGGTGTGAATATTTGGCCGCACCGCACCTAGCTGCTCTCCTTGGGATCCATGCTGTTCCACTTGGGGGTATAGTGGTTACCGTTTCCGCTTTCCAAGTAGAAGGTCACGAGCTCAATCCCAACCTCAACCCTTTTTTTTATTTATTTTCTACGCCTAATTAATTTAAATCGTAATCATAGATCGTATCACTCACGACAACCAATTCATAAATCTATTGAAAAGAATAGCATCCTTTCCATCGAAATTAGAGAGATGGATAGGTAGCGTTGGTCTCATGTTAAACAACTATGAATGAATTAATCATTTTCACATCTCCTTGAATTAGCTAGAGTTACGGCTGGGAGTGCTGATAGGTTTTTAGATTCAAGCTTTTATTACTTATTTAGCTGCCTAGGATAGCTCAGATGGCAAGGCAAGAGGCTGGTGATCGGAAGGTCATGGTTCGAAACCCATTCAATGACATGTGTGTATGTAGTAAATTTTCTAGGATCTATGTGCGTGCTTCGACAGAATTAAATGACACATCAATCACTAACGAGAGAGAACAACCCTGCTCTGTCCCGTTCTTATTTTTGGATTAATTATCCCGTAGTTTAATAATCGTTTAATAAATGTATAATAGTGTCTAATTAAACATTATTTCACATTATTACTTCACCATCGCTGTTTAAGGAAGTAATGATGTCGCCGAATAATCAAATATTTGATCGAATAAGCTCTGTTACAACTTTTGTAAGTCGAATAAAAGCTTCTCGACATACCTTATTCAACACCAAATAGTTCGATGTTGTGGTTGAATAAATTCTCCAGATTTGTGTGAACAAAGCCTGAACAGAAGTTATCATTAAAAATAGTACAAGTATTATTAAGCATGAAGTGGAATAAAATCGTCAAGAAGTCGTTTTTTCAATAGGCAATTGTTTGTTGGGGTCTTCCTTCGGAAAGGAAAGTAAAGTCATTGGTCCTGGCCCATGTGTGTTTGAATGGGTGTGATATCCTACGCAGGTGTGGAAGCTGCCTTCCTGCACATTCGATTGCCGTCAATGGATGGCAATCGATGTCCGTTGGTGATGGGTACTAGGTTGAGGAACAGAGACTGACGTTAAATAAAGGAATGAAGAGATTTCTTTTATTCTTCTCCTCTCCATATCTCGATATCTAAGAGAGATAGAGAAAGATCGAGGTGAAGAGAATATCGAGATATAGAGCACTTGATGTATAAAAATCTGAAACACGGCCAACCATACCAACTCAATAAGAATAATTGACTCAGAGAATTTTCTTTCCATACGAAATTTACTCAGATTTGGAAAAAGTGCAGTTAAGGTATCAGTACACGAGACAAATATTTGTCTTAATTTGACAGATACATTAAATGTATCTGTCAAATTAAGACAAATATTTGTCTCGTGTACTAATACCTTTACTCATAGCTTATGAGTAAATTTCGTATGGAAAGAAAATTCTCTGAGTCAATTATTCTCAGTCACTGAGTTGGTATGGTTGGCCGTGAAGGAATGTCCAAAACATCGAGAAATGGGAGAATTATCGAGATAAAGGGCGAACACGAAATTATTGCGACACATTCAACAGGGCATAACTTTTTTACCATTGGGTAAAAATCAACCAAATTTTGCACACTTTCTCATTGATGTGTATTGTGTACATGCTGTCAAACTCGAAGTCGTGTTTTTCGATTCAACGAAAATGGAGGTGAACCAACGCGAGTTGAGAGAAAAAATTCTTTCCAAACACCTGGAATTTCCTGACCTGTCGCACCGGCAGTTGGGAAAAATGTTGAACATTACCATTCAACCGTCTCCAGAGTGTTGAAGCGGTTCCAGGAGCGGTTGACGTTGGACCACGGCAAAGGAGCTGGAAGAAAACCGGGACCGGAGAACAAAAAGACGGGGGAAAGGTGAAGCGGATGATTAAAGTAAATCCCAACGTCTCAAGCCGTGATTTGGCTAAAAAGATCGGCATGTCGCAGAGCTACGTCCAGAATGCAAAGAAGAGAGCTGGACTACATACATACAAGGTACAGAACTTCCCAAACCGCGATGAGCGGCAACAATCGACGGCTAAAACTCGGGCACGGAAGCTCTACGAGAAGATGCTGACAAAATATGGCTGCTGGGTGATGGACGACGAAACGTATATAAAAGCCGATTTTAAGCAAATTCCGGGGTTGGAGTTTTTCACCGGCAAGAGCAAGTTCGATGTGGACGACAAATTTAAGAAGAAGAAAATGTCGAAGTTCGCCTCCAAATATCTCATTTGGCAGGCCATCTGCTCTTGCGGACTGAGGAGTGAGCCTTTCGTGACAAAGGGCACAGTAAATGGCGAGATCTACAAATATGAGTGCCTCGAGAAGCGCCTTTTGCCGTTCTTGCAGCAGCACGACGAAGCTCCGCTATTTTGGCCAGATTTGGCATCATGCCACTATTCTAAAAGTGTCCTGGAGTGGTATGAGGCCAATTCTGTCCATTTTGTTCCAAAGGACATGAATCCGCCAAACTGTCCGGAGCTGCGCCCGGTGGAGCAGTACTGGGCAATAATGAAGCGGGAACTTCGGAAGAGCAAGAAGACAGTCAAAGACGAGAAGGACATGTTAAGAAAATGGAAAAAAAACTGAGAAACTGGTACCGGATGACACTGTAAAGACTTTGATGGAGGACATCAAGCGAAAATGCGTTCAATTTTACACTCAAGGCTCCATCGATTAACTTTTCTTTTGATTTTTGAAGTAAATATATGTATAAAACTACCCTAAAATTTTGGTTTGATTCTAAACATTATAAGAAAATTGGCATGACATTTTCGGTGTCGCAATAATTTCGTGTTCGCCCTATATAGAACATTGATAAATTTATAAAGTTGGCTATATAACAATTAGGGGAAATGTAAGTAATGTCGGCCTACATGTCCCTAATTTGGGCCCATAGCAAAAAAAATCTGCTATTTATCAATTTTATCTAGATGAACGTGTCATTGGGACGGTACTAATGGGTATTTTTGGTCGCTATTGAAGATTTAGTCGATTGCTGTGAATTTATGTATGGGCCCAAATTAGGGTCGTTTAGGCCAACATTACATCCATTTCCCCTATAAGCTCAATTGATTTTCTGAACTACTTCTTTTCAAATACAATATCGATTCAATTAGCAAAGTATTTCTTTAAGACACCAACTGCATCAATATTGGTTTTATTTGAATAGCGCGAAAATAAATTAAATTTAGAAGCTCTCATACTAACAACTGTGGCAGTAATTTCTCAAAGAAAACTAAGTTGAGGGTAGGCGCAAGGTTCCAGCTGGAATAATTGGAATTTTACATAATGACGTCAATTCTGTTAATATTAACTGTCTTTTATTCTCTTCCTTTACAGAAACTTGAGCAAGACGATGACGACCAGTATCTCGACTCCGCCTGGTCCGATAGCCGCAGTTTGAAGCGCCAAGTGCACGGGTTAGACGATGTTAAGTTTAAATTTACTAAGTAAGGGAAAGCTTTTCTTATGAGTATCAAAAGACAGCAACACAAACATAAGCAAATGAGATATTTTCAGTGTCCAGCATGCGCAATAATTCTTACAATTGATAACACTCTGAGTAAAACTACAAATTGCAAGTATTTTTTAAATGATCGGAAGGAACGGAAGCTCATTTTAAGAGAATATTCTAATCTAACACTCAAACAGCAACACAAATATGCACAAAACGGTACAGACCAGTAGGATCTAGAAAAAAAAAAATACCAAAAACGATTTTGTTCACAGTAAGGAATATTTATGTTTCAACATCAATTTTGAAGCTAGCTAGGTGAGTGCCGAGTTATCGAAAGTACATGCTGGAATCTGTTCTATGCGTTAAAATGAGTCAAATTAAAACGAATTTTCATTCTAATGTAAGGTAATGCAGGATCAGTGCACTGGGTATTTCTGGAAACATCTTTTTGAAACCATAGTCCAGATTTGGTATATTCACAGGAAATGGTAGGGTAAACTTTTAATTCGTCGGTTTAGGTACACGTGCACAGAATAGTCATACAATAAATTGTCCACAGAAGTCCATAACCGTAGAGAAACGACTAAACACAAACCATGTTTCAATAATGAAGATGAAATTTACACCACTGTTGCAAAGCAGTTCTACAGGCAATAATGAGAACCCACCAAATACATAGCTGTCCATGGAGCGTTGTTTATACATTCGTTCCAACGAGAATTCAAAATTTTATTCATTATACAAATACAAACTTTCCAGAAATATCCATGCTAAGGGAAAAAATGAGATGATTCAAAATTATTTATTCAACGTGAATTCCTCTGCAACTCTTTTAGTCATCGATTTGTTGAAAGCACAGAAAGCGAATATAATTAGATGCGTCACCAAAAGATGACGAAGCCATTGATAGACTTTGCTAGTTCTACGGAATAGAATAGGCAAACTGAGCGTTCCGGAAAGATTTTAAAAGTTTTTTACAATAAATTGACAAGATTGGGAAGGTTAGATCTAGTCAGCGCTAAACTGTTTTGATAAAGTTCTTGCTTTATGTTGATAGGAAAATATGCTTCTTCAACTATACACTGTTTAATTTCACGGAACACTGGAGAAATCAAGTTAGCTTTAGAAATTTTATTTGTTTTTCGTTCGTTCGTTTTTGGCAGGTCTGAGTTTGTTGGTAGAAACCTGTTGAATTTTGGCAACATTGACATGAAACATTTTTGTTATGTTTTTACCCAGTTAGTGAATATTTAAGGGCCCATTCAATTACTACATAACGCCAGAGGGGTTGGGGTAGCCTAACTTTGCATTACACGCCATTTGTTACGAACAGGAAAAGTTTGTGATTAGGGGTGTGAGGGTTAGTTAGTTTAACATTATTATAGAGACTTTTTTGCGTTATGCTTTGTTAATATATTATAACTCTGTACTCCTGTAGTCTGAACATAGCATTGCGTAATATTTGAAAGGGCCCTAAATGATGAAATTTAAAGTTCCATAGTTGATGTTAATAAGTGTCTCGCGAAGACTGAAGCCAAAAGTACCAATCGAACTGTCAAGTGCGGTCGAGAGTGAGTATGGTAAAGTATAGTACCAAATGAGTATAGTAAATAAACATTATTGTTTCCAAAGCCGGTGGACTGCAAATATTGTATTCATTGCAGAAAGTATTCTAGATATTTTTTATAAAAAATATAATTTTGGATTATTGAGTGCATTTTGGTATTGATAAAAATGTGGTTGCCACTAATATGTCAATCACAAATTTTGCTGCTTGCTTGAAATATTCTTTCTTTTCGGGTGACTTATTAACATCTACTCTGTAGAGTTCAAAAAACTTAGCTTCAGCATGACCATTTTCCCCATTTATCAGATCAGCAGTATAAGCTGTAGCTTTTCATATTTGATGATTAAAATTACATTTTGTACGTTGTAGATTTGTAAGCAGTATAGTATTTAAGGTTTTTTTTTATGGAAAAAGCAATATTTGGCTATACCACGAAGCGATGTGATGCGAAATGTTTCATTGTTTGAGAAAGTTCAGATTTATATTTTACAAGCCAAAACTACAAATCTATTTTTATAACATTTGATGTATCTCCAGTTTCTAGACATCATTTTCTTCGAATCATTCTTGCTCTAGATAAGTGTCAACTGTTTAAAACATGCGCTGAAAAAAATATTATAAGATTTCGAACAAAAAAACGTTGCTTACTTTAAAATCTCTATGAAAAATGACAGGCAAAGTGAAGTATTATGTCTGAATGCTACCATTACCGTTTTCAATGTGTGCAAACTATTCTTTTACACATTCATAACATCATGAAATATAAAAAAAAAAACTTAACGAGTATAATACATCAGATCTATGAATAGAGCTAGGCGAAACAAAACTAAAATCTATTAGCTTGGCTGATTATAGAAGCGAGTAAAAACAGATAACAAAAAGCTGCAAATACATAATAATGACTTTAAAAGCGATGATTTTAAATAGATTAAAGAATCATACAATCAGCATTGCGAGACATAAACAACCTAGTTTTATTCCAAACTCACAAGCAAATAAGAAAATTAAACTTAAAATAATAAAATAGCATGAAAGATGAAACAAACGATTGTCATTGAGCTGGATCGTTCTTTTCAAAGTTTATCTTCAACATTTTGATTGTGTAAATATTGAAAGTACAGAATTAAACAAACGATAATAATCGCTACAGATTTATTCACAACGTCAGAAACCGACAGAAAGAAGGAATCATTGGAATCGGTAAGCTATTCCCATCACAAAAAAAAACAGAAAAGAAACCATACACAGTTCAGAGCCACAACTTGTTATTGCAAAACAAATTCACAGATGCTATAACAAAGACATATGATGGAACATTGAAAAGATTCTCAGAATTGTATATTTTCAAATATGTATTGCCTTGTCATTGCTACTAATTTAAGGTTTATCAAAAGGAAGAGAATAGATGAAATGATAAAATCTATTACAATTAATAAATAAAATGTGAAAGCTTTGATGGTTGCTTTTACATGCATTGGAATTTGAATGAAATCATTTACTCCCTTTACGGTTGCTTTGACCAGTGCGGCGATATCGACAAAACATTTTTGGTCGCTCATTCGAGTTAAGAGTCATCTTCACGGGAAATGACGATGTCTAGTAACGTGCTATTGAGTTATCGTACCATATACTAAACTTGAATTTGATGGCAACTGCGATGGTGATAATGCTCGATAATTTTGAAATTTTAAAGTCCTTAAAAATACTATATTGCAGGTTTAAATTAAATACCTTCACCAATAGATTTTTGCTGAAAACAATTTCGTTCAATTTTACTATTATTTCTATCAAAAATACTATGCATTTTGAGCAAGCATAGTAGTTTGGCCAGAATCATAGTAAATTTGTCAACTTTCATAGTCAACTATACTGAATTCATAGTAGATTTAATAAGCGTGGTTATATTGAAAATAAGTGTTTTCTGCAAAATAGTATTCCTAACTCATTGTCATTGTTTCAGAGCAGTTACACTCACACCTGTAGAAAGAGAAGGGTGAAAGAGAGGGTGAGCGCGAGAAAAAAAGAGAGGGATAGAGAGAGAGATTTCGGAGTTATGAAACAATGAGATCAGGAAGACTCTTTCCCTGTCAACCGATGCACCGCAGCTTAAATAATTTTGACATTTTTGGGCAAACCTCCAAGAACTCGCTTGGAAATCTTCTCTGAAAATTTCAAGTCGTTTGGTATCCCGCATAAATGCGAACCATTGCTTGATCTTGCCAAAAAAATGGTTAAAAATTGTTTATAATCCCTGTTAAACTTTAACTGAAATGGTTATGGAACATTACATGAACGTTTCAGCGTGGTAAGCGTGATTACCTCTCATTCTGAGGCATAACATCTCTGATCAAGGGAGAAGGGAAGTAAAGCCTTTGGTCCCCGGTTCATGAGTTGATAGGTACAGTCCAGGTGTGGGAGCTGCCTCCCTGGCGTCGGTAGCATTGGTGCTCAGAACGGAAAACAAGATCGACTGAAAACAAATCAAGGGAAAAAAACAAAAACAAAATTACAAGAACGTTTGTGTGATAAAGTTTTAACCATATATGTTTTCTCCATACATTTTCGGAAAGAAAACTATATAAAAACCTTTTTATTTATTATTTGAGAACTGTAATGGTAATGGTTATGGTAGTCAGTAAGGTCAATGGATGGTTTTGTAACATCGATCAACTTTATGTGCAATATATCGCGAATAGGTTGCTTGTAAATTAATAATTAACAATTCGCGAGATATTCCACGTAAAGTTAACCGTCAATAAAAAACCATCCATGGACCTTACTGACTACCATAACCATTGATTACCATTAAAATTATCAAACCATAAGTAAAAAGGTTCTAATATAGGTTTCTTTCCGAAAATGTATGGATAAAACAAGAATTTTCAATGGTAATGGTTCTTAACAACCCATTATTTGTGGGGGCTACTACCAAAAAACCATAACACATATGGTTAAAACTTTATCACACAAACGTTCATGTAATGTTCCATAACCATTTCAATTAAAGTTTAGCAGGGATTATTACATTTTTAAAAAATTACAAAAAAAAGTTCTGAATTTTAACAGGCAAATTTTGAATAGTCGACCTCACGGCAATTGAATGTTTTATCAAAATATTTGCCGAAAGTTCAGTTGTTGGATTCTCGACACTTTTATGCCGGGCTTTGCAAAAAATAAAATCTAAGTGTTTAAGATACTCCTTTTAGTGAGCAATATTCATCACGAACACGATTTTCTTATGTTGCAAACTTTTAGGACTGTCCAATAGTTTCTAGATGTATGTTCTCACCCATGACATATAACGAATAAAATTGGTAGGTATGTTGATTTTGCTTAACGACGTGTTCAGGGTATTATTCAAACCATTTGTGGAATAGTTCAATCATTTGGGTTATCGTTCGGGCACAGACAAACAGACATAACTCATTGAATATTTCTCACTGTAAAACATCGTCGCTAAACAATTGCGCCATCTGTTGAGTACACTGTGGTGGGTAGTACGTTGAACAGATGGCGGTAGTGTGTAAACGTCAAATGCAAGGGAATTGACTATGCGCGCCACAGGTGATGCAACTACCAACAACGATACTTTTAAATTGGCCGTTAAATGCGTGTTCGATGAACAACTAGCGAGTGTTATGTCTGTTTGTCTGTGGTTCGGGTATGGTGTTTATTTGATTAGGGAATTCTTCACTATAGAGATTTTCACGTCCGATTGTATTGGTGCGATATGTGAGTGCGTGTTAGTGATAATCCTAAGAAAATACATAACAAATCACTGTCAAACTCATTTTGGCAGATCTAATTTCATACATTTTTTAGGTTAGCCAGAGGAAAATAATAAACAACTTTACACGGCGGTGCCCCCGCTAGTGTGCGTGCGTTAAACGTCACTAATCTCTATAAAATATATCGGACAATATTCATATTCATCTTACCTACACTAATAAAAATTCAATGATTATTTTTATGTGTCCCACACATGAATTTTTGAAATGTGATAAACAAATCACATACTATTCATTTGACTCATAAATTTCATGTGAGAAGAGCGAGTAACGACCCTTTACATTTACGCCTTTATCCGTTCATTCTATGAAAAGAACAAATCCAAGCCGGTACGGAGGAAACTCGGGCACTGAGTGAGTGCCGCTGAGATTCAGGTGGCTTAAATCACTGAGTGACTGAGTCCATGGTTGAGCAAGATTTTACTATAGTCGCTATATTCATAGTCTGGCGGATAGAATCTCGGGAACCAATTGACCTGTCAAATAGCGGAACCAATCGAACAAATCACGACCAACAACAGAAAAGAGCACATCAGGTATTGCGATCAAAACTTCGGAAACCCTTTTCTTGTGACTCAAGGCTCACTTACGCAAACTAACACCATCTTTGGGTTGAGGAAAGTTTCCCCTATCCGAAGATGCCGGTAATTGGCATTCGATTGGCGAGGAAAGAATAATCAACGTTTTGATTATAAAAGATGGTACCTTTTCAATTGTTGGTCTATAATATATAACTGACTGGTGGGAAACGGGAGCTTAAGCAATGGCTATTCTGTATGCATTTAAGAGATAGTCTACCAGAATGGATGATTTTTTTTTTTGTACAATTTTATGTTTTCTGATGGTTTCGGTTGCAAAACATGAGAATTAACTTTTCCAATGCTTTCAATTGTACAAAGCATTAGAGCTAGAAACATGATCTTGTAAACACTACACGCCTTAACTGGTAGTTTACTAAAAAAGATGCTGCTACAACCGTCAAGCTCGCTGTAATGTCACCAAGTGCCTCGTCACCTACAAATTGGCGCCTATGTCAGTGGTCTAATAACTTTTAGCGCGCTAATGGCATAGTTCCCCTGCCGCATAGAGAGTTGCCGCAATGATATTAGGTTAGCTAAGGTCAGTTAACTGACTGGTGGGAAACGGGAGCTTCAGCATTGACTGTTATGTACGCATTTTTATTATGTTATCTAACAACAATGGTGTGTAGTGTTTACACGATCATGTTTCTAATTCTAATGTGTTGTAAATATAATTGAAAGCATTTGAAAAGTAAGATTCTAGTGTGTTGTATATCTAAAAACATTAGTAAACATCTACATTTGAAAACATTCCAGCAACGTTAACTTTAAACGTTTTGTACATCTGAAAACATCAGAGAACAACAAACACGAAATACAATTGAAAACATCCGAACAACGTTTAGTTCTAACGTTGTGTACATCCGAAAACATCCAAAAAACGTTTGGTTCTAGCATCGGGAGACATCTACGTTAGAAAACATCAGAATACATTTACATATAAAAACATCCGAACAACGTTTGTTTCTAACATCAGGAAACATCTACATTAGAAAACATTAGAAAACGTTTACATATAAAAACATCCGAAAAACGTTTAGTTCTAACGTTTTTTACATCCGAAAACATCCAAAAACGTTTGTTTCTAACATCAGGAAACATCTACATTAGAAAACATCAGAAAACGTTTACATTTAAAAACATCCGAACAACGTTTAGTTCTAACGTTTTGTACATCCGAAAACATCCTTAAAACGTTTGGTTCTAATGTCAATAGATTGAAATTTTTGACGTCAGACCGACATTAGAATGGCAAAATTTTGTTCCAAAATTTCTGATGTATACACCATGTTACGTTGCTTAAATACAACTAAATCATAATGTTTTCTAATGTTTGACATCAGGCATACATTTGATTTCGATGCTGATGTAGACATCAGAATCAAACGTTGGGCTAATGTAAATTTCTATTCGGGATATTGAATTGGTTCCGCTTTTTGATAGACCTAAATTCTATCCGCCAGACTATGACGACTATAGATTTTACTGGATGGAAATTCTGTACTGATATGGAGACTTGACTACCCAACAAACAATTTGAGCTAAATAATGGCTGCCATTTTTTAGCTGAAGAATCATATTTTTGCCTGAATCGGCCTGAATAAGCTCTTATTCTGTATGCAATGTTTGTTGGGTAGCTTATTGGTCCCAAGCAAACGATTAACGTATCCCATTCTAGTTGAAAATCTAGTACTACACTATGTCTGTTTTGATTCGCTATGAAAGTTTGACAAACAAAATGAGGGGTTCGTGGATGTTCCTATGTTTCGAGGGGTGCATCGATTAGCTTGGGACCGAAGAGAGTACCAGAGCTGAGCCAAAAAGTTGAGCACGTTTCTTAGGGACCTGCTGGTCTTAGAGTTACCTCTATGGTTATACCAACAATCAATACGAAACTAACGATTTTAAATTGGCTCACCACTTGACTAGCCTATTGGTCCCAAGCAAACGATTAACGTATCCCATTCTAGTTGAAATTCTAGTACTACGCAATGTTTGTTTTGATTCGCTTTGAAAGTTTGACAGGTAAAATGAGGGGTTATTGGTTTTTCCTATGTTTCGAGGGGTGAATCGATTAGCTTGGGACCGAAGAGAGTACCAGAGCTGAGCCAAAAAGTTGAGCACATTATTTCGGGACCTTCTAGTCTTAGAGTTACCTCTATGGTTATACCAACAATCAATACGAAACTAACGATTTTAAATTGGCTCACTACTTGACTAGCCTATTGGTCCCAAGCAAATCGATTTACGCACCCCATTCTAGTCAAAATTCTAGTACTGCCAATGTTTGTTTTGATTCGCTATGAAAGTTTGACAGATAAAATGAGGGGTTGTTCGATTTTCCTATGTTTCGAGGGGTGAATCGATTAGCGTGGGACCGAAGATAGTACCAGAGTTGAGCCAAAAAGTTAAGCACATTTCTTCGGGACCTACTAGCATAGAGGTAACTCTAAGACCACTGGGTCCCGAAGAAAATCATTATTATTTTTGGCTCACTCAGTACCAGAACAACGGTCCCAAGCAGTCCCAAGCTATTTCACTCACCCCTGCATGTTCTGCATGAATCCACACACCCCTGATGTTATCTGTCAAACTTTCATAGCGAATCAAAACAAACATAGTGTAGTAATAGAATTTCAACTAGAATCGGGTACGTTAATCGTTTGCTTGGGACCAATAGGCTACTAAAGTGGTGAGCCAATTTAAAATCGTTAGTTTCGTATTGATTGTTGGTAATAGTACGTTCAGACTACAGAGTTATAACATGTTATAGCGCTATCTTGATGGTGGTTTCTGTGTTGCAATTATTTGACAACCGTTATAACATGTTATAACTCTCCAGTCTGTACAGCGTTTAATTTCAATTTTTTTATCGAAACAAAACAAAAAATTTCCGGCTGAAAATAACACAGAGTGGTTTTGACTTATAGTACGTTCAGACTATAGAGTTATAAAATGTGATAGCGCTATTTTGATGGTGGTATCTGTGTTGCAATTATTTGACAACCGTTATAACATGTTATAACCATAGAGGTAACTCTAATAGTACGTTCAGACTACAGAGTTATAACATGTTATAGCGCTATCTTGATGGTGGTTTCTGTGTTGCAATTATTTGACAACCGTTATAACATGTTATAACTCTCCAGTCTGGACAGCGTTTAATAGTACGTTCAGACTACAGAGTTATAACATGATATAGCGCTATCTTGATGGTGGTTTCTGTGTTGCAATTATTTGACAACCGTTATAACATGTTATAACTCTCCAGTCTGGACAGCGTTTAAGACTAGAAGGTCCCGAAATAACGTGCTCAACTTTTTGGCTCAGCTCTGGTACTCTCTTCGGTCCCAAGCTAATCGATTCACCCCTCGAAACATAGGAAATACCAATAACCCCTCATTTTATCTGTCAAATTTTCATAGCGAATCAAAACAAACATTGCGTAGTACTAGAATTTCGACTAGAATGGGATACGTTAATCGTTTGCTTGGGACCAATAGGCTAGTCAAGTAGTCTGCCAATTTAAAATCGTTAGTTTCGTATTGATTGTTGGTTTAACTCTAAGACCGCTGGGTCCCGAAGAAAATCATTATTATTTTTGGCTCACTCAGTACCAGAACAACGGTCCCAAGCAGTCCCAAGCTATTTCACTCACCCCTGCATGTTCTGCATGAATCCACACACCCCTGATGTTATCTGTCAAACTTTCATAGAGATCTCCAAGCGCAATCTCACGAACACTAAAATCCAACATCCATATATAAAAATTAAGAAGAAGAAGATTCAAAAAGGTATCGCGATATCACAACTACTTAAAAAGGTAGCGCGCAGTCTCACGCACACTTTTGTGCATCTGGAGAACTCTATAGCGAATCAAAACAAACATAGTGTAGTAATAGAATTTCAACTAGAATAGGGTACGTTAATCGTTTGCTTGGGACCAATAGGCTACTAAAGTGGTGAGCCAATTTAAAATCGTTAGTTTCGTATTGATTGTTGCTGGTACTCTCTTCGGTCCCAAGCTAATCGATTCACCCCTCGAAACATAGGAAAAACCAATAACCCCTCACTTTATCTGTCAAACTTTCATAGCGAATCAAAACAAACATAGTGTAGTACTGGAATTTTGACTAGAATGGGATACGTTAATCGCTTTGTTTGGGACCAATAGGCTAGTCAAGTAGTGAGCCAATTTAAAATCGTTAGTTTCGTATTGATTGTTGTTATAACTCTCCAGTCTGGACAGCGTTTTACTCTGCGCGATAACGTAATTTTCTCAAAATTGAGTAAAAGTGCGCCAACTCACTTTTGAGTAGCCATACCATAGAGGTAACTCTAAGACCACTGGGTCCCGAAGAAAATCATTATTATTTTTGGCTCACTCAGTACCAGAACAACGGTCCCAAGCAGTCCCAAGCTATTTCACTCACCCCTGCATGTTCTGCATGAATCCACACACCCCTGATGTTATTTGTCAAACTTTCATAGCGAATCAAAACAAACATAGTGTAGTAATAGAATTTCAACTAGAATAGGGTACGTTAATCGTTTGCTTGGAACCAATAGGCTACTAAAGTGGTGAGCCAATTTAAAATCGTTAGTTTCGTATTGATTGTTGGCCATACCATAGAGGTAACTCTAAGACTAGAAGGTCCCGAGGAAACGTGCTCAACTTTTTGGCTCAGCTCTGGTATTCTCTTCGGTCCCAAGCTAATCGATTCACCCCTCGAAACATAGGAAAAACCAATAACCCCTCATTTTATCTGTCAAACTTTCATAGCGAATCAAAACAAACATTGCGTAGTAATAGAATTTCGACTAGAATGGGGTACGTTAATCGTTTGCTTGGGACCAATAGGCTAGTCAAGTAGTGAGCCAATTTAAAATCGTTAGTTTCGTATTGATTGTTGGCCATACTTTCCGCTGAAATAAGCATGTCCGACTCAATTTTGATTTGTTGCGAGCTGAGGGAGAGTCGCGAAGTGAGACAAATAGATAGTCAAATGCAGCCAGACGGCTGTCACGAACTGTCATTGGGAGCCGAAAAATTTTATGATGTTTGTCTTACAGTTGAACAAGAATACACAAGGCAGTATTGAAATCTTGCGTAAAGTAATTTATGACAAACTGTCGTTTCCAGCTATTTTATTCAATGGGACACCGTTTCTTTTTAATTCATTCTAAATACAAACAAATTAATATTGGAAGATACCATTAACCAAAGTTTTGTAAAAACATCTAGTGGTATAGTAAAATACCAAACAGAAAGTACAGTTTCTCACTGAACACTGAACAATCTCAAACCAAAACACGCTATTGATTAACAGACAATTAATTTAAATTTGAGTTCATCTATTATTACTCAATAGATGAGTAAATTTGACCCATCGCCGCTTTTCTGATTCACTCAACGATAGACCTCAAATGATAGAACCCAACGGTGAGTTTTTTTAAACTTAATTGTGAGTATTTTTTTCTTACCGTGTATAGTTTGTTTTGAATCCGCTCCTCTCTAATCTTACCCGTCGCTAACCACTTTCAAAGCAAAGGAATTTTATGTACTAGTAGTATGTAAAATTAAGATAGAAATCATTCCATATCGCAGTTGCAGTTTTTAACTGATAATCCAATGGAATCTATCAATCATTACCTAGAATGAATAAACCTTCTGGCCTATGTTATAAGATGGATTCAATAAACCGTACATGCCGATTTGTTTCAGTGTAAATGTAAGTAATCATTGAAGATGATGATGAGTGATGATGACCAGTGGAAAAAATAACAATACTGCATACTGCACAACAGTGGCAAGTGGATGAAGTTAAGTCGTTTAAAAGTGGTGAAAAATTAGTGAAAAACGTGAAAAATTGGTGAAAATGAGAAAACATTTTGCTATCGAGTGAATACTAATACGTTTCGACATGGATTCCAAAAAAGATATTTACAATCTGTGGATTCAATACACGACGAAGGTGATTTTTCATTCATAGGAAAAGTGAATTTGTTGTTTTTGTTGCTTCTGATGTGTCACTACTTTTTTTTCATAATGAATGAAGCGATTTAAATTCATGTTTTGTATGTTTTCTGTTGATGCAACAAATCTATTATAAGATTATTTCTTCCGATGGATAGAATGAGGAGATCTACTTCCGGCAGTTCGTTCAAGGATTCGTCAGTATCTGGCAAAGTCAGCTTCTGCTGGATTTCGATAACGTTCCGCGTTGGGCATCTATTTCTCCCGATTCTGGACCACACCTGAATCGACTTCCGGAGGAGTTGCTACCGGCAATAGAAAAATTTCTGATCATAGCCCGGGACAAGTATGAAAAGGTAAAACAATCCATTTCCATAAACATTCCACAGTAACGATTGCGTAATAAAAAAGGATACCTATATTCAAAACATTCGGCTTGTGTACATATAGATAGTGCATATAAAGAAAAATAAACGTGATAAGAACGGAGAAGAAAATACCCGCGTTAGACGTATTCGCGATGGAAGCTTATTTATCTATCTATGTTGGGAAGCAGGTGGTTCTGATTGTATATAGGTCTCGATCAACAATTGAAAATGACCTATCAGTGGTTGTAAAGTAAACATTGTAAGCCCTTTCCTCGCAAAGCGTAGGTCGCCCACGCAAACCATCAGCATCATCGGGATTATGGAATTTGAGTTTCATCATTGGCCTGATGCACAGTTTATACTCCTATCGTAACCAATAAAACAATAAACTACAAATCGGGTAGGGGAAACTTTTCTCTACACGATGGTGCTATTGATTTGCGTGGGCGGCCTTTGGTTTGCGAAGAAAGTCCTTACATAGTTTTGTTTACAAAAGCTGATAGACCCTTTTCAATTGTTGATCGAGAATTGCGCTCAGTGAGTTTTGTTTGGTTTCCTGGACAAGAATTGATAGCCTCAAATGTATTTTAATTTTAGACCTCCAGTGATGGCGCAGACGATGAGAAGGATAATGAAACGATTATGGAAATTCAATTATTGGTACAATGTCTGACAATAATATGTCGTCACTTTGACAATATCGGAACGATAATCAAGTCAAGCTACATATCCAGTTGCGTTGCGATTTCAAATTCGATTGTTGATAAGGTATGGTTGTTCTGAATTTATGTTTTGTCTCAAAAGATCATTGATTTTCGCCTTAATCTCTGACAATTGCTTATATATTCTAGTTGAATGGATCGGCATCGTTCAGCACCGCACAACCCCAATTCATAAAATGCTTCAGCAATTTTCTCGAAGTGCTGTACGATCCGTATTTTACCTGGAGGAACTTTCTGCGTGGCGAAGTGGCCGATTATGCTAAACTTGGATACAAGATCTCCCCGATGCATGCCGAGATAGTGCCATTCATATACGATTGTTTTCAAACGAAAAAGGTTTCCAAGAATCCGGAAATCGGTAAACATTTGATTCATATCCTAGGTGCAGTGATATCTGGATCACAGGTAGGTTTTGATTTGCTAACACGATGGTAGTTGAATTCCAACATGGTTAGGTGGCTGATGGGTTAATCACAACAAGAGCACTGTATAGGCAAGCAATTTTCAGCATAAAGTAACAAAAATTGTCATTTGGCTTTGGTAACAGTCGGCTTAAGTCATTTTGAATAGAATGAAAATTTAAATTGGCATTGGTGCTCAGCACGAAAAACAAGATCGACGGAATACAAATCAATGAAAAACAAATCACTTCTCCGTTTTTCTTCAGGTTTGAAGTGTTCATTGTGTCCAAAAAGTATCTAAACGAGAAAACCCAAAACTAGTGAATGATTGAAACATAAACTTATCAACTATCTACAGCTTGACATTCGCCAACTGCGAAGGTCCCATTAAGTGGTTTCCATTGTTTTTTTTTGTTCTAAAAATTAAATCTTCAGTTCAGTTCTTCCATTTTAAACCATACAAAAAACAGTTTGAACCTAGTCAAATTTTTAATGTATATTAAGTTTAAATGATCTTATTTATACATGTTTTATTAATTGCATATCTCAATTTCAAAATTCATTTTGTGATAGTGTACATACTTTCAAAACAATTTTTAAACAGGAATTGTCCTTGTTTGGTACTTAAAACTATGGATATTGTCCTCGTTTTGCTCCAGAATTCAAATGAAATGTCCTCCTTTTTAATTTTGTAATATCCTTGAAACCTATGACGATTTTTGTGTTGAATTTCATTCATCGGAAATTGTTTTGCTGTGCCAGTAGTTGTTTTTGCTTCAGATGGAGTTTTTGTAAATTTAGTGCTTAGATTGTAACTGTAATACCTTTTCATTGTAATAGTTAATGTCTCAAATTTTAATCATACCGATTTGTAGGTTGCTCTTATTAATGAACCGAATCAGAACATTAATTCTTATCATCTAAACTATCCTACTGGTGACGGAAATGCTAATGTGGTGAGTCTTTGCTTTGAATGTTATCTTGTTTCAAGTTGCGTGTTTTCATATTTTGTTCAACATAAACTCATCATACCATGCTTAAACCTAGTACCTAACATGCATGTACCTATTGTTCCAAAATATTTCGACTTTTAATACCTGTTGAATCCGAACAGGATAACGGATTGCGTGCCATAAGTCCCGCCACGGTTACCATAGTTATGGATGTTTTGTCCAAGTGGGAAAGTGATTCGAGCTTACGCCAGCTCGTACTGCAATGTTTCACCATGATGGCAATCATATTGCAAAAGTCTAGTCCTGAACAGGTACAGTAGTTTTCGACTGTATTGCAATCGTGTAGCTAATTACCACCGCTCTAATTTTAGCGTCAAATCGATTTACTTACTATTTTTCAACTGTATATGGGAGCCGTTCACACCTTACTGGAAACGGAGCATTTCCTGCAGAAAACATCGCCGGCAGAAAGTTTCGAGGTTTCGCCAAATGATGATAATTACATTGACGTCGGGGCTCTGACTGCTATTATCGGAGTGATAGAGCACTTCCTACCGGGGCACGTCAACAAGCATGTACTGTGCAATGCCATGTTTGAAGCAAAATTTATACCCAGCCTAGTGCTGATCCCGGAACGTGTTAAGGTAAGAGTTGCACTTACTCCCCGTCCACAATTATTCAAGATACTTGTTGGCTTTTCGTTTATCTCCAAAACAGTTCTGGCATATCGATCATCAAACATTGGGCTCAACACTGGTCAGGAATTTCCATAAGCTTTGCAGCAGTTCTGAAAAAATCCACTACAATCTAATGCATACCAACAACGTGAACGTTTTGTTCGATGGATTGAAACTTTTCGGGCGACCGTCTCACGATTTGGTATGCGATTGTTTGTACTTTGCCTTCGAGGGAGGCGATTACCATAGTTTGAACGCTCGAATCGTTATCAAGCTGGTGGAGTGGATACCTGCGATGGCTGAAGCGGAACAAAACTACATCAGTGACGTACTGCTAAAGAAGTGTTCGGCCAGCATTCAAAGGTAAAAAAAAACCTATAAATCTGTTTAAAAAACAAATAAATAAATCGGCATTATTTTTTTAAGCAAACATTCAATATCGGAGCAACGGATGATTAAGTGTATCGTAGATTACTGCCTGGAAGATCAAAATAAATTGTCAGCAAAGTGCGCTGTAAACTTGCTTAAATTGATAGAGGAACTCGCCAAGCATAGTATCCACCCGATTGAGCTGAAATGTCTTCTCCGGTTGCTCAGGAACGATGCTAGCTTTGAATATAGAAAACAGTTACTGGAAGTCATTCTGAAGGTTTCTCAATATAGACTGTCACTTGGAGTTACCCCAATAGAGTATCTGGATATCCAAGGTAACACAAATGGCATTACAATTCCCGAAATACGTAAATGGGATACCGCCCATGGATTTGTGTTTCATGCTTGGGTTCGACTTGATAAAGACGTAGAACATTTTAACGACGCGGAAGGCATTAATCTGCAAAACTATCGCAGACATTTATTCAGCTTGACGACGAATTTCGGAACCGGGTATGAATTTTTCATCCAGAAAAACGGCAATTTTGTGGTTAGTGTCATAACAAAAAAGGAATTTTTCACCGCAACCGCTCAGTCGACCCACTTGCTGGATGGTCGATGGCATTCGATTACTGTAAGCGTAATTCCACCGAAGAGATTGTTTTCATACCATCAGATCAACGTTTATATAGACTCGGTGCAGAAACTTGGATCAACGATGAAATATGCAGCATTTGCCGAGGTGAGTATTATAGATTGTGAAACTGGGATACTTTTGAAGGGTTCTAAAAATCATACCCTTTTTTTTTGCTAATACGCCTCAACTGTAACTTTACGCCTTTCCACCATTGAGAGCTTTATATACCTGTACCATTTTTGCATTCGTATCAGGTGTAACAAGCACGATAATACTCTTTGCTTAAGGAAGCCGTTTTTTTTTAATCCTAGACCGTATAGTGAGAATTGAACCCTGCCACCTCCAACATTCTTCTTCTTCACATTTCGCTTATTGTGTTATTGATTGAGAGCTTTCGGTGCCTGTACCATTTTTGCATTCATTTGGACAATCTCGAAATTACATTTCCCGAAATGACATTAAACAAAAGATTATTAAATCTAGTTTTTAGGACAAATATGAATAGGTATAATCGTAGTTTTACATTGGAAGACTTTTAATATAATCTATTTTTATCGGAATCAAAGACACTATTGCATGTTATATCAAGCATAACATTTGATAACGGCACAAAAGCATTTGTAAACAAACTTTCTAAGGCCCTTTACACGTGAACCGAAGTACGCCCACGCAAACCAACAACATCGTCGAATAGGGGCAACTATCACCTTTCCGAAAATGGCATTGGTTTGCGTGGGCGTACTGTGGTTCGCGTGTAAAGGTCCTTATAAAGTTGGTTTACAAATGCTTTTGTGCCGTTATCAAATGTTATGCCTGATATATATTTTTTTTCGAAAATTTAGACACATAAGAAATTAAGCGGTGTATGTTTTTTCGTTTCTGAATTACAATTTTAGGGTTAACTACCCCATTTCCGGCCTATTAAGCACAACCCGCATTTAGTCTTTCTTAATCTAGCGCAGTTTAGCACCAAACGGAATGTTATTATTACTGATGGCTTCCAAATTTATTTACCTTTCCGTATGTACCGTAAGATTTGATAAAGAGAAACCAATCGTTGAGATATTGTCAAAAGTCTAACACTGCTTCTTGACGCCAAACTCGCGATACGGATTCTAAGCTCGGCCTAACGCATTGAAACGCTATTGAAACGCCAATGAATTCACTTCGGCCTATTGGATGAAGATAAAATTGATTCGGTCGGAGCGCTTCTTTTGTTTTTGGGAATAATGGGTGCAAACCTTCATATCACGCGTTCTCATTGGCTTCGATCCGTAGCTTATTAACTAAAGTATCGTACCAAACGCATAATTGACTGGTTAACTCTGAAATCATGGATTTATTTGAAGTTTCTGCTCGAAAGGCCCAAAATGGGCGATTAGGCCGAAGTAGTTCTCTACCCTATTAAGTTTTTAGGTTTTGCTCATAAACTGTCATGACCATTATTCAAAACTCAATACTTTTGAAAAATTGTAGCTCAGAAACATACGTTGCTGAATTTTGTATAGGTTGTGTAAATAAGTCCAAATTTTCAAGTAAAAATACAACATACAATAGTGCTTTTGGTTCCGAGGTCATGAAAATCATGAAAATCGATTATAACACTCCGAATACGGTGGGTAAAAAACTTTACGCCGACTACGAAGCCTCCGAAAAACGTGTAACGGCAAGTTTGCAATGGCACAACTTAGCCATTTCTTAATGAATTTCAAAAATTGTGGTGCCTTTAGAATTCCTAGGGTTTCTAGATGATTTTGATTGCAAAAAACTTGAAAATAGAGTCGTCTACTTTTTTAAAAAGCGAAAAGAGTTGTTACACGTTTTTTTGAAAGGTGTGTTTGTAGGGTTTTGCAAGTGGCGCAAGATCTGTAATTTAGATTAATGGGCACAAATGTTCACAACTAGCCAGAACACAGTCATGGTTCCTATATATGGATCCTGGAGACAACGGAACGGTCCTCGAAATATCCGGAACATCCTTAAAAATGGTTAATCCATGATCCTGATCCTAGAGCTCTGCGGTTTTTTTTTTAAAACATTAGGAACTGTGATATAAACAAATATTTGGGATCGTGACATAAAATGTACCTGGATGGCCATGGGACCGTCCTCCGGAAGATACAGAACATCCGTAAAAGTGATCCAGAGGTTTCTTATATCACAGTGTTTAAAAAAGAACTGCAGAGCTCTAGGATTAGTTTCACAGTATGATAAATTTACGGATGTTCCGGATCTTTTGAAGGACAGTCTCATGGCCATCCGGATCCATATTTATATCACGACCCTAAATTCTATCTTAAATCGCAGTTCCAAGAGTTTTCGAAAAAAAACCACGGTTTTTTCACAGTTTCATCGATGATCCACTTTTACGGATAATCAGGATCTTCTGGAGGACGTTCCAATGGCCATCCAGGTTCATTTTTACGGATCTTCCGGAGGACTGTCCCATGGTCATTAGGTTCCATCTTTATGTTAAGACTCCAAATTCATTCTAATATCACAGTTCCACGGCTTTTCGTTCTTGGATGAATTTTATGGCTTGCAATCGGGCTAAGGCCTTGTTGTCCTCTGCTGTCCGAAGAAGTCGTCTCAACTCTACTCGATCCATGGCCAGACTTTGCCAGCCTCGTAGTCTGCGAAGGGTCCGCAGGTCACCTTCTACTTGGTCGATCCACCTTGCCCGCTGCGCGCCTCTTCTTCTTGTTCCTGTTCGGGCGCTTTCGAGAACCATTTTCACTGCGTCGTCGTGCAACATTCTTACGACATGCCCAGCCTACCGTTGTCGCCCAATTTTTGCAATGTGAACGATGGATGGTTCTTCCAACAGCTGGTGCAATTCTTGGTTCATTCGCTTCCTCCACGTTCCGTCATCCAAGGGCGCGTTTGTACTCCACGAGCATAGTCACGGTCTCGTGGCCGTAGACGACCACCGGTCTAATCAGCGTCTTTTAGATAGTCAACTTCGTGGCGAATTTTATTCGACCGGAACGTCTTCCGGAGTCCAAAGTAGGGACGATTCACTGCCATAATGCGTCTTTGAAATTCTCTGCTGGTATCATTTTCGACGGTCACCAGTGAATCCAAATACACGAACTCATCGACCACCTCGATTTCGTCACCGTCAATCTGAACTCGGGGTGTCTTCCCTAGAACCTTTTCCTTTCATGTATTTTGTGTTTAATGCGTTGATGGCAAGTCCAATCCACCTAGCTTCAGGCTTCAGTCTGATGTACGTTTCCGCCTTCGTCTCAAAGTTCCGTGCCATGATGTCGATGTCATCGGTGAAGCCAAGAAGCTGTCTTAATACTCGTGTCTATCCCAACTCTTCTGATCACACCTTCTAACGCGATGTTGAATAGCAGACACGAAAGTCCATTACCTTGCCGTAACCCCCTTCGAGATTCAAAGGGACTCGAGAGTGTCCCCGATACTCGAACAACGCACATCACTCGATCCATCGTTGGCTTGACCAATCGCATCAGTTTATCTGGAAATCCGTACTCGTGCATAATCTGCCATAGCTGATCTCGATCGATTGTGTCGTATGCGGATTTGAAATCAATGAACAAATGATGTGTACACACTTAATCTAGCTCGGTAAAATCTCCAACAGCCGATTACTTCGGCATTAACTTTTGCTGATATCTCTGCAAAATATCTGTTTGTTAGCTGATATCTCAGCAAAATTTTATTTGTTGGCTGAGTCTCGGCAATTGTTTTACTGAATCTCAGCAAAATAAATTGCAGAACTACTCGGCTATTGGAATCTCGGCGAAAAAAATTAAGTGTGTAAGCAAGTTGTATTTGTGGCATTTCTGCAGAACCTGCCGAATCACGAATATGAACCCATGAATTCCTGCTGGTATTGCCCAAGAAATCTCTTGCAAATGGTGACAGGCGGCGGCGTATAATTTGGGAGAGTACCTTGTAAGCGGCGCTCAGCATTGTGATCGCGCGGTAGTTTCAGCAATCCAACTAGTCGCCCTTTTTGTAGATTGGGCATACAACACCTTGCTTCACTCCTCCGGTAATATCCTCTCCTCCCAAATCTTGGCAATTACCCAGTGCAGCGCTCTAGCCAGTGCTTCACCACCGTATTTGAATAGCTCACTTGGTTGTTGATCTACACCAGTTGCTTTGTTGTTCTTCAGTCGACCGATCTCCTCCTCAACTTCTTGAAGATCAGGGGCCAGTAGCCTATCGTCTCCTGCACGTGCTCCAAGGTCTGTTTCCGTGCCACCTTCGTTTTCTGCTGCATCACAGTTGAGGTGCTCGTCATAGTAATGCTTCCACCTCTCAATTTTATGGAGTGACCATTTTACGGATGTTGTTGATCTTCCGGACGACGGTCCCATGGCCATCTAGGTACATGTTTAAGTCACGATCACAAATTCATTCTTATATCACAGCTCCTAATATTTTTGGAAAAAAAAAACTGCGGAGCTCTAGGATCTGTTTCATTGATTAACCTCTTTTACGGATGTTCTGGACTTACCAGAGGATGGCCCCACGGTCATTTGGGTTCATGTTTATGTCATGACCCCAAAATATTTCTTATATCGCAGTTCCACATGCTTTCGAAAAAAACGTAGAACTCTAGGATCAGTTTCGAGGGTTGACCATTTTTAAAGATGTTCTAGATCTTGCGGAGGACGGTCCCATGGCCTTCTGGGTACATGTTTATGTCACGACTGCAAATTAATTTATATATGACAGTTCCAAGTGTTTTCGAAAAAAAACCGTGGAGCTTTAGGATCAGTTCCGTACATTGACCACTTTTACGGATTTTTCGGATCTTCCAGAGGACGTTTCATTCTATCATCTCAGTTCTTAGTGTTTTTTTTTCAAAAACTGCGGAATTTTTCGGATCTTCCGGAGGACGTTCCGATGGCCATCTGGGTCCATGTTTACGTCACAATCCCAAAATCATTCGAATGTCACAGTTCCTAACGTTTTCAAGAAAACCACGGAGCTCTAGGATCAGTATCGTTAATTTTCCACTTTCACGAATGTTCCGGATCTTTCGGATGACGGTCCCATAGACATCCAGGTTCATGTTAATGTCACAAGCCTAAATTCTTTCTATCATCACAGTTCTTAATGTT